TTGATTTTTGGCCGGACTTTTCTGCGTTTTGGGCCCCCAGCAACGCCCGTGATCATCACCAGCCGCGGTCGGACGCGATCATGATCTACTACTGTACTGCTGCACGGTATTAAACCGCCCACCAAACACAGGAGTCAGCACCCTCTACGGTGCGTTCGGCTCTCGGTCATCGCGGATTCAGCCTCTAGGACGGCCTTGTACGATGTACGTGCGAAGTGCAGGTTTGGATGTTCACGTGTTGATTACATTGTGCCGTAGATCGACCTCGCTCTACACGCTAACAGTGGTTTTGTCCCCAAGTTCCAAACAAAGTTTCCAACTTTCCAGCACGGCTTCTGCACGTGGCAGAAGGGCAGATAGACAAACATGTTCGGATAGTACATGGAGCTTACCATACATATAACAGCAGTATCTGTGTCCCAAAGAAATTTTCGATGTGTCGATAACCGATGCACCACCCACACATAAACTTACAAGTCTATATATTGACTATATATATATATATATATATATATATTTTTTTTTTTTCTCCCATCATTGGACTCTGTCGTCGGCCCCTCTGGCCCCTATTCTCCACTTCTACCAGCCAGACGACCCAACCGGGGTCACATAGGAGGGGGGGGTTGGACCCCCTCCTGCGGTTCCTGCCTGAGATATTTTTATCGCGAGAGGGGTACAGCTATCCCTTCCCACTCGACTTATGAAGTCGATCAAGTTTACTAACAACGAGCTTTGCAGCGCGTCGCTTCCAACGAAGACCAGGATTTAATTAGCGAGAAAAACTCACTCTGTCGGTACGCGAACCCATGACCTGGCCCTTAGAAGACTGCGAGGCTACCCACTAGACCACCGGTGTTTTTTTCATATCTCAGTCGGATTCACGCGTCCCCGAGACCGCGGAGGAGGCGTCATTTGTTTGAAACCAGGTTCTCCCATGCCGCTGCTGGTAAGTATCGCAAGGGAGAGAAATGGGACGAGGGTGGAAGGAGACACTCGCCAGGGAGGAAAGAGACGGGAGGGTGTGGCCTCTGCCATATACGTCTGCTTCTCTGGGCTAACGGCGGGAGCGTGAAGAGGAGAGAAATGCTTGGTTGTTTGTTTGTTTGATGATCTCTCGAGATACACGTAGTCTAGACTACATACGTAAATACATGTACACACTCATCTTCATCATCAGCGAGCGGCGATGAGCACAGGATTGTGCAACACAGAGGGATGGACGTGCTTACACCCGATCAAGCAGCTGACGAACAAGACATAGATGGCAGAGCGAGTAGACAAGCACAGCTGCTGTGTACGTTTGTTTGCATCTGCAGCGGTGGTTCTTGTGAGTGTTGGGTTGGTGTATGGGATGTTGTTCGGCCGAATATTTCAGCTTGTCACCAGCTCGTGGACAACATTGCGGTACACCACCACGATCCTACGCACCACCATTGGTCATGCATGTACTGCTGCGTGCGAGGGTCTAGTGTGCGACCTGTGCCTTCCTTGCTAGTATATCTGGTCACCCATCACACGCGTTTGTGTTGAGTTGCCTCTGAGAGCACGAATCCGGGGTGATTGAGAAAGCTAGTTGATGGCCACCCCCATTTCTGGGAATCACCGGCGCCCCCCAGAACTCACAACGCGCTAGCTTACGGTATGTAGCTTTTTCAAGAGCAGCCAAAATAGCTAGCTGATGACCACCCCTCTTTCTGGGAATCACCGGCGCCCCCCAGAACTCACAACGCGCTAGCCTACTGCAGGTAGATAGTTTTTTAAGAGCAGCCAAAATAGCTACGGTACCACTTCCCACTTTAGAGATCGATTGCTCCACAACCAAGAGGCTAAGCGAGGGTGCTATCGAAACCCGACCGCGCGTGCAAGCAACAAAGGCTTCTTCCGATTCATCTTTTTTTTCCAGGACACCCCAATTCGGCATAACAAGCCTCTTGGTTGTGGAGCGATGGAACTAAACATACCGATCGCACCCCTGTATGTGCTTTAGCCTCCAGTCTCGCGCTGTACGCAGTGATTCGCCTGCGGGACTACCAGCGAGGAACATTAGAAATCGTATCATTCCTGACCACAAAATGCTGAAAGACTGCAAGAAGGCCCACTCGTTGCAAAAAATTGGCGGGCGCTTTCGAAAAAAACCGGAACCCTAGTCGGAAGGCAAACAAGACACACAAGTCCAAATACTCTGTTACTTGTGGGGCCCCAGCAACTCCGACAGCATAACCTGAAGCAGATGGTTGAGACATGTATCATCTCCAAGTTTTCATATGGCAACCAGGCAATGCATATGAAGAAAGAGAAGACAGTTCTTGCCTCTCGTCCCAACGTTGTACAACCGCCCGGAGCGAAAAGGCAGTCCCACGCACTGCCGGGGAAATATAGTAGGAAGACGGCAATCACAACCACACTCGCTGGAATGCTGGCCACCTTCGCTTGAATGCGGTCGTCAGTTAAAGAGATGCGAATGACCAATGATGACCAGTGTGGAGATCTCCTTCGTAAAGGGTAAAAACTCCGCAACGTCTACCTAGGACGATTCCCTCTTCTCACACCAACTTTAGCAGGATATGCTGAAATCAATGGCTACCTAATTTAGAGAACACACTGCTCTCTCTTAGATTGCCGGCCTCGCGATGGATGCTAAATTTCTTGATTCTGTCCCCAGCCATCATCCGTTAAACACCAGGTTAACAAACCTTCAACGATACGAAAAACCAGCTCTGGGCAAGAATTGTACAATGTCCTACACTAATGCATGTGGGTAAAGCATTTGGGTAATACCACGGCCCCCTTTGCACAAAGTGCAGCACGATATGCAAACATACACGGAATCAAACAAATAGAACAGCAACTTTGCCGAAATAATTGTGATGACAAAATGCCGTGCTGCGAAGGTAGCATGCTCCGTCCGCGCCCGGCAAAAACACCAGCCACTGGCCCCACAATTAACCCTTCTTTCCCACCCAAACCCCCACCCTATTTTGATCATGTTCTTGAACGGGTGAGCAATGAATTCGAATCCCCACAATCTCCATGCTGTTTTTCCACTGCTACTTCTCCACCTGTAAAGCGTATACGTTGGCTGCGAATGGCAAAATTGGCTGGGTGATGACAATGGATAAAGCGGCAAGAATCACGCCCTAGCGACCAAATATCGCCCGCAACGTCGGCGAGGTGTCTCTAGGACGAGGCAGGAACGACGCTAACAACGGTGCCGCTCCCTCTCGAACGGAAGCGAAGGCCAAGGGCAACCGCCTCAGGGTACACAAAAAAACGAGCCCCCCCCCTCCCCTCCGCCCCCCCCTTCTACTACCGCAAAACCCACGCACCACATGTACAACCAAACAAGAAAACGGTTTTTCGTAACAATCACCCAAAATGTGGCACATCGTCGCGTGTGTAGTCGAACGAGAAAAAATTACTTTGCAACGCACGTTACGGTACGGTACCGGTATGGACTGCCATACCATACCGGGGATGCTCGGTACGTTCGGTACGGACTTGAATACCTCACCGAACGTACCGGTACGTTCGGTACGGACTTCAATACCTTACCGGAGTGTTCGGTACGTTCGGTACGATGTAAATACCTTACCGAAAATCCCGGTACCGAGCGTACCAGTATCGGGCTAATCGGGAAGATAGGCATGACATTCACCCGATACCGCCATACACACGCACAGCACCAGCAGATGAGCAGCACAGCAGTGTACCGTTGTACCCTACTCAATCGGTACAGCGTACAGCTGGTGGTGCGCACCAGTACCAGCCGTCCTCATGAGCAACACACCATCCCCCCCCAGCAACAACAACGATGACCCCGCAGCTGGTGACCAAAGCTCATCATCGTCAGCGCCGGCGCCAGCACCTGCTGAGGCAGAGGTTGTTGTGGATGGTGGAGGAGGCAGCAGTAGTGTGTGCCAGTGATACGGCCTGCTCCTGCCTACAATACGACGACGTGACGACACAGAGTACGTAGTGCCGGCGGAGACATTGCAAGCTGTCGACGAGTTTGTGGTGCCGCAGGGGTATCGGAGAGAAGGGGCGACGCTCGGGAGAAATACCGGACAAATAGCGGTATCGCCGGTATGGTACCGGTATGGACTGCCATTCCATACCGGGATGTTCGGTACGTTCGGTATGGACTTCAATACCTTACCGAAGTGTTCGGTACGTTCGGTACGGACTTCAATACCTTACCGAAAATACCGGTACGTTCGGTATGGACTTCAATACCTTACCGAAGTTTTCGGTAAGTTCGGTACAAATATCGAGATGTTCGGTACGGTACCGGTATGAACTGTCATACCATACCGTGATGCTCGGTACGTTCGGTACAGATTTCAATACCTTACCGAAAATAACGGTACGTTCGGTATGGACTTCAATACGTTACCGAAGTGTTCGGTACGTTCGGTACGATGTAAATACCTTAC